CATAGTTCACTATTAAAGAGTTAGGTTTCTACAATGCTACAATACAAATTTTAAGTAACAAGCTAAAAATTAAAAACAGTAATTTTAAATGCACACACTGGTGTACAATAGACTGGATTTCACTGGTCGTTCTTTTTACTATGGAACTAATAATTTCTTAACACATTTTAGAGAATTCCTCTTGGTATGATGAGTGAATTAGAGAACTATAAAAATTAATGGTCCAAAAGCTCAAATTCACATAGAAGGAAAATAAACAGCACTGAGAATAGAGATACTAATGCCAAGAAGTTAAAATATACAAGCTTAACATCTGGTTTTTTCAACATGCAGGAAAAAGTAACAATCAAACAAAATTTAATGTTAATGGAATGAGACCCTTATCAATTACAATTATAAGAAGAAACATTGGTGATACAATGTTTGAAAAACTGGTAGCGTTGAAGGGAAATGTATCCAAATGTAAACCATAACCAAGTTTTGAGAAATAAACTGTGAAACAGGATCACTAACGGTTGTATTTTTAAAAGTATTAAGAAATACTACTTTGTAATTTGTAACTCAATACTTTTATGGAAATATATTGAATTCAAAATACTCTTTTCAAGTATTTATTCGAAATCTGCTTACAATTTACACTTTTTGCAGCCTTTCAGACCTATCTCATTACGTCAGACGTAATTGTCAAAATTACCTTCTGACATCCCATTTAACACAAATAACTTTCACATTCTTGTTAGATATAATCAAAGGACACAATCATAAGAAAGACATTTTAAATTTTTTCTCAGGTTTTCTAACATTCACTTATTCATACCTCTCTGTGTAAATCTATAGTTATATACCCTCAGGTTACAGAGATGAATTAACAGGTCTCAATTTATAAATAAATCATAAATAGTTTTGGGGCTTTTGACCATATCCAACATTTTTAAAACAACTTGTGATCCTGGCAGTAAATCTCTCTCAACATCATTCAAAAATTTACTGCAGTAGAGGTCAAAATTAAAGGTGTATCCTCAGATTTCACAAGTGCCCAAAATTTATAGCTATTTATAATCCTTTATAAATCAATTGTTTCTGGTTATTGTTCAGATATTTGTCTTATTTTTGCCTTTTACGTCATCTTTTTGTTTTTTCTTCTGGAACCGATCAACATCCAGTTCGACATATACCTGCAAGCCTGAACACTAAGGCATGGTTGTATTTTGTCTTTTTGCGGTAGCAGAGGCTGTGTTAAAAACCTAAATGAAAAAGGAAGGCGATATCAGTTACGATTTTTCATTTTTTTCATTGCAACCGACATGATTTATTTCCTCGCAATCCCATCCTACCTTTGAGAGTGGCTTTCGATACCATTTGAGGACAGCTCTGTGTATATTATATGTCCTTTTCAAATACATTTACACAAGAGCAAGGAATGAAAAATATAATAGCACTTTAATGATAGCAATTTCACGATTCAAAAGGGAGTTCACAAAAGCATTTGAGAGAGACAGCATTGTAAGTAAAACAAATTTGTGGCCATCATATAGGATGGCCACATGGAATCAAGATTTCGAAGAAAATATTGTTTCCTTACACATTAAGATCTAATGTAAATTTAAAAGGTAAAATAAAAATGTGATTCTTTTAATTACTTTTTTCTACAATAATTTTTTTTAAATGTGATTTTTCGTTATTAACATGCCTTATTTCACCCTTACTTTAGCTGGAATAAATGCCCTCTTACATACCTATTTTAGGTAAAATAAATGTCTGAAATTCTGAGCACCACTCCTTATTCAGTCTCGGGCAATAATAAACGCACTTTATTTTGCATAAATGTAAATGGAAGAGAATTATCCCCTTAGAGGAAAACCACAAATGTGGTCAGAAAATAATTGTTACACCAAGATCTCAGCAATATTTCAAGAAAACATGCCATGAAAATTGTTTTGCTATTACCACTATAACTTAATTTTCACTAAACAAAACAAATTAAATTGGAAAGTAGTAAACTAATTGCCCACAAGATTAGTAAACCATACACTGTTACAAATGAACTTCAAAACATGCACACCACAAAACAAGTTGAGATTTAAAGCTGCTCACTACATCTCTTTGAACATTCGATGAGTCACCAATGTTTTAATCAAGATTTATTGCATATAACATGTGGCAATACATTCCTTCTCTTTTAATTAATTCAAGGATTTAGAAGCAAGTGAAAAATAGTAGGATGCTATTAACATTAAATCCAATCTCAGCACATTCTTCCTAAATATTACAAAAATTATAGTATCATGATTGCAATTTGTTTGAGGATAAAAATCACTACATGCTCCTTTATATTTGCAAGGAATGAGCGTTCTAAAATGTGGTGTTTGTTTAAACAAAAGAGGGACAAGGACCTTGCTTTTTTTTAGTTTCCACTGAAACCACTTAATTTTCACAAATAGTGCTTGGATTGTTTGGCTTTTCCAAAAGTGCAACTACTCTGTGATCCTGCTAAAAAGTTTTTAAGAAAACATTACGCAAGGAATGAAACCAAATTTGTGGGAAATAAAAACAAAACTTAATATCAGCTGTTAAGAATCCTTAGGTATTACATTGTAAAACGAATATAAACAATTTTGAAATGTAATGCACAAGAGTAGCAGTATTTCTGCCTAACTGTGAAACACACTGAAACCTTAATATACTAAGTTTGTATGCTTTGTGGGGTTACATATGTTAACAAACCCAACAGGAATCAATTAAACAAAGACATGCTGGCCATATGGCTTCCTCGGAGATTTAATGAAATTTTGTTTACTATCAATAACAATCAAGAAGATAAATTGATTTAAGATTTCACTTACTAAGTTGGTAAGGATGTGTAGGAATATTTCACAGAGAAAAGTAACAATTCAAATTCAGAAGGTACATACAAGTGTATTATCAAATTACATTTAAATTACAAATGAAGTACACATATCAAATCACATTAAATCACTTAAGAGTGAAATTGAAATTTTTTGGCAACAAGAATTCAAGCAAAATTATCTATTCAACGTTTAATTAAAAAGCATTATAATAATACTGTAATGAATTTCTTTCCAGACAACAACGTTTTTTTGCATAATCATCATTGTTGATGATTTACTAACATTAAAATATAACAAGATTGATTTTGTCAATACTCAATTATGCAATCTGAGAAAATATGTATTCCACATACTTACATTCTCTGTAGCTTTGACAAAAATAAAACTCTGGGGGAAAAAATAGTATATTATCTCAATTTAATGCACCACTTTCAAGGAGTTGTTACTGTCCTTGTTTATCACACACCAACACATTTATATTCTTCTTCAAGAAACACATTCAGGATTCACAATTACTTTTATCTTAGATTATACTAGTGGGACATAAAGGAATTACAAAACTGTCCACTTTTCTCCAATAAAATGTCATTAGGGAATGCTTTTCAGTGCTGTAAGTGACCACACACAGTCAAAACATATAACAAATACAAATAATTATAAAAATTTGACTTGCCAGATATTATCGAAAACTGACTGGAAATATGTATGTCATTTAACATGAATTGTCATCTCGACCTTTCAGATGGAAAATATCTCACATGTAGTGTAAGCCTATATGTTTTTGACAACCCCCATACAATACCTGCTACTTTGCAGCACAAAATCAAATTGTGCAAATTACATCTAAAGCAGGTGAAAATGCACTAATTACAAGAAAAATATTAAAACCTTTTGAAAACATTATCAATTTTGATGATGATTTTGGTCTAGAAAGATATTGTCCATACTTTAACACTGTATGTACAGTTTCATAGGATGTAGTAAAAAAACGCTATCATCTCAATTCATGCTCATTAAAAAAAAAAATGTTTGAATTTTGTAACAACGCGAGATGTGACAGGTACAAATTAATATATTTAAACAAATTGTTATCAACAGGAAACATCCATCATTTAAGAAAAATCCATCCACCAAAAGATTCCCCTTATCACCCCTCCACGGTGGTTTCCCCCCTCACAGGAACAACGTAGGAAGTGCCGGTTTAAAAGACTTCCTCAAATTGTATTGTGTTCTAGACTTCATCCTATTCAACTGATACTACAACTTTGCAAAATTGTTTACTTCAAGAAATTATATTCATGTATTTTTATTTGCAAATTGGCATTGTAACAAAACTCAGCTTAAAAATTGAAGATTTTGAGACATCACAAAAATATTAAATAATTAAAATATATGGCCAAATGTGCAAGATACAAACCAACTGCAGCACTGTTTTGAAATGACTTCTGTATTTAACAACCAAATAACTTGTAAAATCCAGACCTTCTTAATAATTCAATAAATAACATTCAAAAGAAGTTTTATTGTTATTGATTTATGTTAAACAAGGATTGGAATGTCAAGAAGTTAACTATTAATTACATTTTCCAAATTTTAAATAAATCTTACACAGATTAGCAAATTTTTTCACAATATGAATTAGTAACCTGTGAAAAATTTTCCCCCTTAAAATATGAAATGCTATAGATCTTCCAGATTCTGAAGTCTAAAGGTCTATGAATTTCCAAACTTGTTATATGTTCAAAGTAATTAAAAATTTAATTTTCTACAATGTTTTTACAATTTAATAAATGTATTGGATGTGATTTACTCATTCACTAAGTGAAGTTTGCATTTTTACCAGTTATTTGGTTGAAGACAGAAAAAACTTATTTTCCATCATCCATTCAGCACTCCAAAATTTAATTATTTTGGTGGATTAATACTTTAAAACAGAAGGTTTTGCTAATTAGCACAGTCCCTTTTAGTAGCAGTTTCTATGTACAGTCACAAGTCTTCTGAATACACCACACTTATTCTTAACACCAAATACAGTATTGTTAAAACATGTGCATTAATTTCTAGAGCCTGGATTTTGTACATTTAATTTCTCCACACACAAATACACAACATGAATTTGATTATACTCCCAAATCAAATTCCATTGCTTGATCATTTTTCTGCATTCGTCTTTGTACATTGTTCCTCCAGTCGAGCAATTATAGCTAGAAAGTGCTTTGTCGTTTGGGCAACTGCTTCTTCTTTTAATTTCTCAGCTTCTTTCCTTGGAATCATATCAAGACCAGAGCAATGTAAACATGGTGGTTCTTCCTTGACAATTATGCTCTCTGCCAGAATTTCCAAACTATCTGAATCATTTTTAGAACAACGAGCATGTTTATCTGCACTATTCCCAAGATTCTGAATATTGATAGATTTCTGTCCACTATCAGTGACTTGCTTGGCATTAATTAACTGACGTTTTCCTCCATCTTCTGGTTTCTTCTTAGTAGTTACGCCATCATTAAGTACTGTAAATGCAACAGAATCAGATTTCATTTCAGATTGACAAGCAAGTGCCACTGAATCGCCCTTCTTTGGAACATCTATTTGGTGTGTTCCAATTCGTTGGGCAGCAGATTTAAGAAGTGCATGATTGCTGGAACTTGCTTCAACTCGTTCTGAATTTCTTTTACTAAATGTTCCATTAGTTTCTGAAATATCAGTACTTTCAATTTGAACAACTTGATATTCCTCTACATATTCATCTTTAATATCAATTTCTTCGTGAAGTTCTGAAATTGAAACTGAATCTGAATCTGTTTCAGAACGACTAGCAATGTTTCTTACATCAGTCTTCCCTGGAAGATCTACTTCCTGCATTTCAGTTTCTTGTACATTGATATTTAATGGTGACTGAAAATTTGGGGTATCTTTGGTAATCACTGGTTGTTCAGAAATTCCATCATCACAACAAATATTCCTATCTACAACATTGACTTTACATCTTTCTGTATCACATCCGATTGACTTCCTTACATGTTTATCACACGATTTGTACACATTTGGGGTTTTGTTATTCCCGATTTCCTCATGGCACCTACTTTTCTTATTTCTCGTGATATCATCACACATTTTTCTCTTTGTAATTCTTTGAGGATTTGGACCTTTTGTCTGGAGCAAATTTTTTTCATGATAGTTACTGGGAAGACGTTTCAATATTATTCGAGGGCCAATACAAATAATGTGAAAAATCAGTTCTTTCATTGCTTTCTCCCATGATAAAGTATTTCCATATTTTGGCAGATTCTCAATGTATTTAATACTGAAAGGAATGGTTTTAACATGAGCTTTGGAAACTACACTTCTTGTGTGTCCAGAACCAAAAAATCTGACATCGTACTTGTCATCAAAATGTGTGATAACTTTTGCTGGCCAAAAAGGAAAAGTTTCCAATTTGGCAAATACAAGTCTATGGAGTGGTTTACATGGTTTGCAAAACCACAGTTTATCAGCCCTGTCATTTGATGCTTCATAGCAATCAGCACATTTTTCAATTTCTTTAATGTCATGTAAACAATATTCTACCATTTTAATTATTTGTTGAGTATATGAGCTTCTTTCACCAAAATAAATAAGTATGTTATGAACGAAGTTCTTAACATCTGCAGCAAATTCTAACCAATGACTGTAATGAACAGCAAGTATCTTTTTTTGTATGGTGTTCAAATCCACTGGGTTGTAAAGCAATGCCTTCATTGCTAATTCATCCTCTAGTGATTTTGACCACTTTTTTAGATTAGCAGGAACCAAATCTTTCATACTTCTATGTAAATATCCTAACAATCGGTTTAATTTTTCTTTGGTAATAGAAATAGGATCTTGCTGGGCAATACAAATGTAACATAACATATTTCCTGGTTCGAGATCTTTAACACAGTAGGTATGAAATACCCTATGGCATGACGAGCAACATTTCACCTCTCCACCCTTATGACACTCGAAACAATACCAATCATGACCATCTCTTAGCGGTTTAGTAGGCACGACATATCTTTCTTGCAAAGAACCTTTCTTGGAACCTTTCTTTCCAACTGTTCTTTCGAAATGCAACAGGCCATCTCGAACACATAATTCTAATTCTGCAATGCAGTCAGCTGGTTTAATTCCATGGTGTCGTTGCATGTACTTACATATTCGAACTGCATTGGCAGCTTGACGTTGCCCATTTATAACTTTCACTGAGGAATAAAAATGTTTAATCAGACATGAATTTGACAATCGTCTTGTGGAAGGTTGAAGATGGGAACTCATTACCCTCTCATAAAAACTGATATACCGTCACACAAATAAATTCCAAGACACGGTACCCGTACCGCCATAATTTCACACCTCACACGCGTGCTGTGGCGTCTAACAGCTTCAAAGAGTATACATCATAAACTTCATCACAAAGCAAAGAGTAGATTCATGGAGATATGCCAATAATCTAAACAAATTATAATATAAAATTCTTTGAGGTAAAATTAAAAATATGGTTTTCGTGTTGTAGGTTTTGATAGTCATTTGCATTTGATTAAGCAAATAATTAAATTACACAATGTCTGCACACAATGGCCCATTATAAGCAAACAATACAACAATACAAACAACACAAAACTATTGACAATTAACAATATATCTAATCTTCTACTATATCCCTTATCCGTATATCTCATTCCTACAATAATTCTAACAATATCAATAAGATAATATAATATCATCACTAATATATTAATATATATAATATATATTATATATATATATATTATGCTATAATTTTTGAAACACAAAACAAGAGAAACGCAAAATGCAAGAGCAACAAAATTCATGACGAAGAGGATGGTCATGTTTATTGCGTTTAGTGTGTACTACGTGCAACGCTTTTACTAAATTGTAAACAACCAATCTAATTGTCTATGATTTCTAGCAATTATAGACGACATTATACGTTTAAAGAAAATCATATTTAATGTCGTCTTACGACCGATTGCATTGAGTTTATGGCACAATATTGCGTCATGCACCCGCAGCAATCCAATGATTGAATGTGGGGAATTGTAAATCGAACAGCCCACCACTGCTTTCCACAGTATGTCAAATACCCGTGATATCACAATAAGCTTATTATAAATTACTGTGGCACTATCCGGCGAGACACGCCAGCTTCGTTGGCTGTGAGGCCTGGCTTTGGCCTCTCAGCCAACGACGCGGCGTCTCCCGGACAGCCAAGAATTTATGGAATCTAGCCGCGGAAGCTTATGTGTGCACAATAAAGTTGTTTCTAAAAATTAACTTTGATTATTTAATAAATTTTATAATGGTGCTATTATAATGATGTATGCACCTTGCTTATAATGTTTTATTGCGTGCTCCCTGTGTGATGTCATAAAACCAATATTTCATGTTGTTAACTGCGAAACTGCTTTTGAAATTTGGGCTGAAATGCAGTTTGTGATATGATTCGTTCACGCGCGCGGACCCCGAAAAAAAACGAACAGAACGGATCTTGAGGGGAACCCCCGTGAAGGGAAGACTTCTTTGTTTCTGCCTAGAGATGTCAACGTGTGAGCGTTTGATGGAGAATTTAAATGGGATTAGCACTCCAGTGCTATTAAGAGGAGACTGCCGTGCCATGCAGCTTCCGAGCGGTTTTTTCACCATTTTCTGTATACTCGTATGTGAAGGAGGAGAAAACTTGTGGGGAAACATGAGGCAAGAAAATTGAGCATTTTATGGAAAAGATTACGAACATTAATATACGCCAAATGATTTCAAAGGTGAGTATTCGCATAAAGTGCGTTAGACAGACTCAAGGATATTTTATGTTAACGGGAGGGGCCGAGCTCCGTCTCAACTTCGAACTGCGAAGCGAAGCGTCACTTTTCATGGAAAAGTCTTTTTTCTTATCTTTCTACTATTTATAGTTAAAATGATGGGAAGGGATTCTGAAACTCAAGAAAACGTGCGCAGATGATCTTCTCCCCCATACGCCACATACAGTTTTTACTATATTTTTGACGAAATAAATCTAATGTGCATCAGCCGCGCACACAATGACCGCGTCGCGGGTGTCTCATTCTCGGAATCGACAGTGCGCGGGAACGAATCGGAGCACAAACTGCATTTCTACTGAAATTTGTTTCTAAAAGTAATTTTTATGATTTTATAAATTGAAAATGGTGTTAAAAATACGTATGATGTTGCTTTATTGTGTTGTACGTATTTGAAAACTCGCTCGTTACGTTACTCGTTTTGAAAGTATTATCTGCGCACGTTTTCTTGAGCCCTCGCTTTGCTAGATGTGAGAGGAGTGGGGAGTTTGATGATTTTGACAAAAGGAATTTAACGTCGAATTGTAGTTGATTTTTCCATGCAAAATAATTTTTAATGCACGGGAGTGAACATTCTTCGTTACCAGAGTTTGCCTACAACTCTCATTGCTATCATTTATTCTTAATGCAACTAATGTTGGGCAAGGAGTGGGGATAGATATTTCGGGGCTCAAGAAAACGTGCGGAACATAAACCTATGTAATAAAGCATACCATTATAAACTAGTAGCATAATATACTATTTCAACAGAGATGTCCAGAATAACATAACATCTGCAGGAAAGTGATAGGAAAGTGTTGGGTGGCCTACTCTTGGTGAAAAATTATTGGTGAAAAAGAAACAAGTAGGCCAGAAAATAATTTTTACATCGAGATCTGAGAATTGTTTAAAGAAAATTTGGATTGAAAACTGATTCTCTGCTATTAAATAAATTACGTCTAAATTGGAAAGTGGTGGAATCGGTTACAAATACATTCCACTTTTACAGTACAACTGTTCCACTGTTACAATACACTGTTACAAATAAATTCCAAATCATGCACAATTTCCCTCCTTCGTCGCGATGTTTAGACCTTTAGATGATAGAGCATAATATCAAGGGAATTTGGATTGTTAGGAATACTTTAATAAAAAACAAAATATACAAAATTATTTATTTTAAAATCACATACCTAAGTAATAATCCATCCACAATTCTAATTCGAAAGTGATATAACTTGATAAAAAATTCTCTCCACGCATTTTGTTTTCAATTCACATTCGAATAAATGCTAATGCTAGGTGACATCCTGATGCTGATTTGACTACAACTAGGATTTTCAGTGCAACAATGCTCAGTGCTCCAATTCATACACACTGTGACACTCCGTGTGAGGAGCAGATCAGTCTAATTCAACATCATCTAATTTATCAGAAAACATTTTATTTATAATTGGGCACATCACCTTATTAAGCTTTTTCTTAAAAAGTTATTTTTACCAAATTTTTAGAGTTGGCATTGGTGAATCGCAACAGCCTGCGGTTTAAGGTCAGTGTCATGTGCGATAGTGTCGTGAGCTCAGATATGCGATTTTTTTGTCAGTGAAATTACTGACGTATCAATGTTTTGTATCAAGTGCAAATTTAGACAATCCATTATGAAGACCTAGGCGACAAAATGATTCAATTGAAGTATATTGCGCGAAAATAAGTAACTTAAAAGTATGAGTGAAAATGAATTATACAACGAAAAACGTAAATTTTTACTGTAGATTTTTGCTGCAAAACAGTATTTAAAGCACTTTTCTAAGGAGTGTTGAAAACAGGGCCTAACACTATTACGATGTCACATAACGCCGATTCTTTGAGAATCACTGATCGGCGCTTTACATGCTCAGATATTTCTTCAATGTGTCTGCTCAGAGAACTTGAGTATTTGATCTGAATGTCCCGACTTCACAACTGTTATTCCAACCGCAAGCCAACTTTCCCGGTTTGAAAGTAAACAGTGCACATTCATACACATTGTGTGGACGTAAAGAATACATCAACAATTTCAGTCACGATACAGGCATCTCCATGTACACATTGTTAGGTGCCGGTGAGTCATTCCTCAGCATTTGCTGCAAGCACAGGCAAAGCCTGCGCAGACGAGTGAATTAGAATTCTTGAGCGTGTAAAGAGTCCCACACACTTCCAAGCGTAGCATAAAATCCGCAAATCTCCGCTGCGCGAACTATGCGCAATTGATTTCTAACCGGCACGAGCTAGGTTGACAGTCACGCATGAAAATGTGTGGAACCATTAACCATTCGTTGTTGTTCTGTTAGGGCGCGTTTATGTTGGAGCGGTGTCATTTGTCAAGTGTTTGTATACTGTATTACAATGGCAAGTTGCGCATGCATTAGAAACGCATGCTATAATCTCATCAGTTGCTATTTGTGAAGAGTCCATTGTGGAAACGAAAATCTCCACAATATGTCAGTTTTGGGCAAAATATGAAATAAAATTGTTGCCGGAATGAACACAACACGTACATTTATATGTTAAGTTGCATTTTGAGATGTTTCATGATTTTATCATCTTCAATCTACAACATAAATGAAAATAATTATTGGGAGATTGTCATTTGGTTAGTTATTTTGTGTTGTGGAAATGAATGTTGGCCCCGGTAAAACAAATACCAATAACATCATTCATTATAGAGTTCTTGCTCATTTCATCCGCGCATGCGACCTCGACTCGGAGGGGTGCTGCACCGCCATGAACAATTCCTGTACTCCGTCACTCTGTCCATCGTCTAACGTTTTTTTTTAATCTTTGGTCGCTGCTCCAACACAAACGCCCCCTGATTCTCCAATTTAAATAGAGTGACTTCTGACGTACGATCAGCTGGGCCGCGGTTATCAAATCGGGAGCTTCAATACCGAAAGGTACGTCGTAACGATGCTGCCTACTGGCTCCCCGCGTCCAGCTGATCAAAAGTCAGAAGTCACTCTATTTAAATCGACGTGCTGTCGCTGGTTGTTCTGAGCGTGCCGAAGGCCGGGGCCGGAAGTGGGCTCAGGCGGCGGCGGCGGCGGCGGAGGGCGCCAGCTCCTCGGCCAGAGTGCGGGCGGCGGCGAGCGCTTCCTTGGCCGTGGGTTCGATGAGGTGAGCAGGCAGAACGAAGCCGTACGAGCCCTGGTCGCGCAGCTCCACTGTGTACGTGTACTTGAGGCCGGCCGCGCCCTTCGCCCAGTCGTCGGAGCCGCCTGGAAACAGCGACATGTCGTCGACTCAAGTGCAGTGCTTCGTATATTACGGAACGGAAAAGCGCCACCGAACGAGACGAGAGCTGATTCGTCCACAACTTGGATTTTCGGTGCACCATGAAGATTTAAGCTTTCTCTACCGCATCTCGGGGTAATGTTTGTTGAAAAAGAAGCTCGTTAGGGCGGGATGCTCGATTTCATTGAATGAGTCGTGTGTTGCCTCTAATGAAACACCTATGCATATCGTTATCGCGCATCCTAGACGCACCCAAAAGGAAAGTAATATTAATTTTTAAAATGACATTTAATGTATTATATATCATTTGGATTGTATAATTGTAAAGAACCTGTAACAAGTATTGTACTTCAGCTTCTGTATCAATGACCCCCATCTCGACCAGGTTGTCGACCAATTTCCTTGATCCTCGAGCAAATTCTAAGATGGCCCCTTGTTTTGCTTCTGGACATAAATGTAACTTCAAATTAACTTCTCCCCAGAGCACTTCACACACAGTTTTTAACTGTGTTTAACATACATAAAAAAGACGTTTGCCCTATTTATAACAATGTCATTTATTTATCAAAAATTTGTTTTATTAATACTTGATAGAATGTTCAGTTCGAATTGTGTAATTTATTATTCGTGTTAATGTTTTGGTAATTGTTTTATACTAGATTCAGCAATCGCTAAATTCTATTCTATCCCCTGAATGTGTTTGAGACCATAAAAGTCCAAAACGTTCTGGTTCAGGTAATATTACCGGTACGCCAATGTTAAAAAGATGATTTCAGTTTCTTCTTTAAATATAAAACATGACAAAGAAGTATCATTTGTTCTAATTCTCACCACTAGATGGCGTAAGCTCTATGTTTTGCAGGTATGAAACCAGGGAGGAAACGTCTAATTTTTATTTTAACAATTTTGTGCTTAAAGTGGCAATTATAGTACCGTTATTCTACATGTACCTGTTTTCTTGTATAGTATTTTGTAAGGTATCTTGATAAGTTAAATACACCGTGCCACACCGCAACAACCTGGAATTGCCCTTAAATTTGGGAGTCATGTTCCTCATGACAACTTGGGGCAGTTTGTGTTTTGAGGGTAATGGTCGTCGATACCCCTTGGATATGCAACTATTTTTGTGGGAGGAGGATAGTAATACGCTTGATTAGCGGAAATCTACTGGAAACATGACCTTCTTCAATCGGTGGATTGTTGGGAATTATAAACCCTTGACACCCTAGACTCATTGCTGGACTCATGACCATCTAATCACGCGATTCTATCAGAGGTTTTTGGGCTATCGATTGGTTGCCGTTACCTTCTTGATTCCTAAGATCCGCCTCACATTCATATCGAAATTGGGAGGTCATACCTGTTTTGATACCCGGCCCCCTCATGTGGTCACGATCACCATGGATCCGACCCAAAAGGAAAAAACCACGCGTGTCTCTATTGATGCCCTGGACCCGCCACTGGATCTGACTCCCTTTATTCGACACCGTAAAACCTTTCATCCCGTGAATCAACCACTGAAGCCATGACTCCCTGACCGACTGATTCCGCCAATCTTCATAGATGTATCGTGTTCCCCGTATATTTGCTTCATCCGCGAGATTCTTCATTGTGATCATGATCCCATCGATCCTTCGATGTTTGGAAGTCATAAGCCTCTCCATAGCTGGACTAACCTCGAGGTTCATCACCCCAATAGATCCGTGTTTGGAAGGGCCACAAACTCTCGAAACCCGCCCTGTCATCTGGAACCCATGAATAATAATTCAATTCTTTCGTGGTCATAATCTTGATTCCCTACATCCGCCATTTGTATCTTGACCGGAATCCATTGGACGGTTTTGGATGGTATTTAATAATCTCCGAAGCCACCTAGTTCCATGGTGTGATGAGTGGGTCGGTGACGAGTGGGTCAGTGACGAGTGGGTCGATGACGAGTGCATCGGTAGCGAGAAGGTCGGTGGCGAGTGAGTCTATGACGAGTGGGTCGGAGATGAGTGGGTGGGTGGCAAGTGGGTCGGTGGCGAGAGGGTC